TTTTCTAGAGATGGGATTTCACCATGTTGCCCAGGCTGGTCTTGAACTCCTTGGCAATGGTACCATCTCAGTTCGCTGCAACCTCCGCCTCTCAGGCTCAAGTGACCCTCCGATTTCAGCCCCCTGAGTAGCTGGGAATACAGGTGTGTGCCACCATGCCTGGCTAATTTGTTATATTTTCTAGAGATGGGATTTCACCATGTTGCCCAGGCTGGTCTTGAACTCCTTGGCTTGAGCAATCGACCGGCCTTGGTCTCCCAAAGTGTTGGGATCATAGGTGTGAGTCACCATGGCACTGGCCTGCAACATTCTTTGTCACAAGTCTTACAGATCTTCCCTGTCTATAAGCTTCAGGGAAGTAACAAACCAATTCAATCTATTTAATAGCAGCACAGTATTTCATTGTATGATCTACATATTTGACTATATCCTTAGTGAACATTTCAGCTGTACTCATTTCTCATAATCACAAACAACAGTACAATTAACATCTGTGCATACAACCTTGTGCGCCTGTCTAGTAATATTTCTGCAGGACACATACTGGAATGGAATCTCTGAGTCACAGAGTGAGCTCATTTAAAATGTTGGTAGGTATGGTCAAACAGCCTTTCAAAATATCTCCCTCAATTTTACAACAAGTGCCTTCTCCTGTGGGCTTTCCTCAGCATTTTGCATCATCAATATGTTTTCCTTCATTTGAATTCTGTCATTATTTGTGAGCTTAAACTTTTTTGTTTGTTATTGGTCATCTGTATTTCATCTGTATTTCTTTTTTTTTTTTTTGAGATGGAGTCTTGCCCTGTCACCCAGGCTGGAGTGCAGTGGCATGATCTTGGCTCATTGCAACCTCTGCCTCCCAGGTTCAAGCAATTCTCCTGCCTCAGCCTCCCAAGTAGCTGGGACCACAGATGTGTGCCACCATGCCCAGCTAATTTTTGTAGTTTTGGTAGAGACAGTGTGTCACCATGTTGCCCAGGCTGGTCTCGAACTGCTGACCTGAGGTGATCTGCCTGCCTCAGCCTCCCAAAGTGCTGGGATTACAGGCGTAAGCCACCACTCCCAGCCAGTCATCTGTATTTCTTAACAAACATCCTTTGCTTATAATGGACGTCAATCGTTTGTCTCTCATATATTATGTGGTGCAAATGTTATCTTCAAATCTCTCATCTATTTTTAGCCCTTTGTTCTTTTCAAACACAGCAATTTTAAATTGTGATATAATCAAAGTAATGAATTTTTGCCAGAGGGTTTTGTGTCCTGTCTGAGTAGTCTGGTGTGGATAGTGCAGGAGTGCATGCATGCTTTTTACTAAATCATAAATACATTAATATAATCTTTACTTGTGATTTTTATAAACAAGGGTTTACTACTTCCCACTTCAGATTCACAGATGACAGTCCATTTTAGTTGAGATTTACTTTTCTCTTTTCAATGATTTAATTTTTTTTATTGAATAAGTGGACATCACTTCTCTTAATCTTTTTCTCTCCTGATTTATATTTTCATACATTGCCTTGCAAGTCACGTTATACTTTTGTTCCTGTAAACCATTATTTATCATTAACTAGTGTGGGTGAAATAAAAATTACAACTATGTCCTAGATGCAATTTTTCTATAAAATAACCATGTAACTTTGGAAAGGTATTTAGACTGAGCTTTAGTTTTGTTCATATTTATGTTAGAAAATTGACACTTAATTATTTCTTAGTTCCTGTATATAAACTTCTAATTGTCCATATTTATTTGCTGATGAACTAATCAAATGCTACTAACTTTTTCATGTAGAGTTCATTCAAAACTTAATAGTTTAACGCCTTAATCTATGCTAGGAATTGTTCTAAGTATGTGTGGGAGTAGGTATACGCCTTAACTTTTTTTTGAGACAGAGTCTCACTCTGTTGTCCAGGCTGGAATGCTGTGGCACACTCTAGGCTTACTGCGACCTCTGCCTCCCGGGTTCAAGCACAATTCTCCTGCCTCGGGCATGCACTACCATGCCTAGCTAATTTTTGTATTTTTAGTAGAGACAGGGTTTCACCGTGTTGACCAGGATGGTCTCGATCTCTTGACCTCGTGATCCACCAGCCTTGGCCTCCCAAAGTGCTGGGATTATAGGCATGAGCCACCGCGCCCAGCGACACCAATATATTATAAGAACTATAACTGGCCGGGCGCGGTGGCTCACGCCTGTAATCCCAGCACTTTGGGAGGCCGAGGCGGGTGAATCACGAGGTCAACAGATCGAGACCATCCTGGTCAACA